CAACAATTGATCCTCAACACCCACCTCATGAAAACTGTTGAATGTCGGTAAGTTATCCCCCCGAAATCAAAAATAGAAAACCTCGTGCTTTACGTATCTTAAGAAATACTGGAAACTCATTAAACCCACCATACTTTTTTTCCACGCATTTTCTCATAAAATGGGCCATTCAAAAGGCAGTTTTTGGGCACATTATGAGCACCAGTCCAATTTAACCAAGTCCAGCCACATCAAATGGTTGGATAGACGTCCCCCTTTAATAATTTGTTTAAAAATTTCAAAATTTAAATTGTTTCAGACCAATTTCACTTTCACAACAAATTTGTCCAAAAAGGGACCTCATCAAGAAGAGCCGTCAGATGGGACCTACCAAAATTCAAAACCTATCAATATTCATTTTGTGCTCAGAAACCCAAGGATTTCCAGGATTCAGAAAACCTATCAGACGTCGTGACGTCATCTGAAGTTCGAAAATTCAAAAACCCAAAAAAAGTCGATGCACCAAGTGTCGGAGCTCTCGGAAAAGAGTGATCAATTTGAGATTTCATTTGAAAGGTGAAAGACGATCCAGGCAAAAATTTGAAGAGCACAAAAAATATGATATGGGAACTCATGCGGAGATTCTGAAGGAGATGGATCAGAATATTCAAGATTCGATAAGGTACAGTAATCCGGAGGAACAAATTGAGTGAAAATTTGGAAAAATCTAGTATTTTTGAGTCATTTTTGACGAAAATTCGGAAAATTTAAGAATTTAAGAATTTAAGAATTTTAGAATTTTAGAATTTTAGAATTTTAGAATTTTAGAATTTTAGAATTTTAGTATTTTAGAATTTTAGAATTTTAGAATTTTAGAATTTAAGAATTTAAGAATTTTAGAATTTTAGAATTTTAGAATTTTAGAATTTTAGAATTTTAGAATTTTAGAATTTTAGAATTTTAGAATTTTAGAATTTTAGAATTTTCGAATTTTAGAATTTTAGAATTTTAAAATTTTAGAATTTTAGAATTTTAGAATTTTAGAATTTTAGAATTTTAGAATTTTCGAATTTTAGAATTTTAGAATTTTAAAATTTTAGAATTTTCGAATTTTAGTATTTTAGAATTTTAGAATTTTAGAATTTTAGAATTAGAATTTTAGAATGTTAGAATTTTCAGAAATTCGGAAATCTCCAATTTTTGAACTTGTGAAATAAAAAAAACCGATTTTTCAAAAATTCCGATTTTGTGTAACTCGAAATTTCTGGAATTTTCATTTTCTCTAAAATTTGAACATAGTTTGAAATGATTTTGAATTCTCGAATATTTCCAAGATCAAAATCCAAATTTCGATCTTATCTTTTTCAGCCATTCTCAGCTATTTTCAGAACAGCCTCAATTTCAGCCCGTCTATTCAAAAAACCATTGATTTGGAGCTCTATTGGAGTTTAGCAGTGTGTCCTTTCGACACGACTTCGAGAAATTTTTCGAGGAATTTCTCGAGGAATTCCTCGAGAAGTTTTTCGAAAATTTTTCGAAAAATTTTTTGAGAAGATTTCATTTTGAACACTATCATGTAACGTACTGTCCCAGAATCCTGAAGACGTCCCGAGCCACTAAAACTTCCATCCATCATAACTCGGTTCATTTTCACGCTAGAGAGTTCATCTTACCACCATTGGAACGCTCTCTTCAAGCTTAACACAATGAAATCCACTTCAGCACATAAAGTAGGCGGGTTCCAAAATGATCAAAATGGTTATTACCAGGTTTTCAAATGGATATTTTTCGAAAAGTATCGTGGGCCCATCAACTCAATCCATCATAAATTGGTTCATATCAGAGCTACAAACGTCATTTTACCACCGTTCGAACCCTCTCCGCAAGCTTAACACTGTTATATTTATTTAAAAAAACCGAGTTGTAGTGAATCAAAGTTTCCGCACATAGTGCCGAGAGCCGAGATACAGAAAAAAGCCATACTTGCGAAATCCCGGCCCAGGCCGGGTAGACCCTGGCTGCGACCCGGCCCGACCCGCCGTTTTCAGGATTCTGGGACAGTACGTAATCTGAAGATCAGAAGGCTCTATCTCTCTTCTGAAGCGAGTTACGGAGCCGTTTCTCGAGAAATTTTTTTTCGAAAATACACACTGGAGTTTAGGTTTTTCGAATGTTCAGAATACTCATAAAATTCAAATGTATGGGAATTTTCAAATTATCTAATTTTGGAAATTTCAGAATTCAATCAAAATTCCACTTTCTAGCTAACACCACTTACATTAGCCCCATTGAAATATTCGGTAAACATTCCCTTATGCTGGACCGGCATCATTGAGAATATTCCCTCAACTGTCAGCCGTTTGATCATATCACAATCCTCCAAATCCGTGACAAAATGATCGAGTGCCGAGTAGACAGAATGAATTCTCAGCGTCCAAATTGGAGCACACTTTCCGACAAACGCATTTTCGGGTAGGCCAATTTGTTGTGCATATGTTTTATAGGCCTTCGAAGATTTGAGATATTGGTCTCCATTGACTCCCAGGATCAAATATTCCTTCATTTTGATTTGCTTCTCGAAAGCCGCTCGTTTTTGTTGCTTCAGAAACATTATCTGATGCAGCACGTCTTTCACTTCCAGGTAGCAGTTCTGAAATTTGAATATTTGAAATCAGCTTGTCAAGACGTTTAAAATGAGCCCCAACACGTGCAGGCTCCACCCTTTTTTGAGTTAGGCTCCGCCCACTTCGCGCTTCTCTGGCGCTCCAGCTTCGAGCTCCTCCAGTTTCGGCAGAAACTAATTCTTGATTCTGTATTTGATTTCATCACGTAAAGAGCTTTAAAATGAGCCCCCTTACATGACTAGGCTCCGCACATTTCGAGATTAGAGACACAGTTTGTTTAATTTCTCTGGCTCTACAACCTAGCATATCTTGGTGGGCTTTGACTCGAATTTAATGAGATTTACTCTTTTGAAATCAGCAGGTTAGACTCCGCCCTCTTTGCGTTAGGACGCCAGAGAAGCGAGACACACTGCGTCTCTGACCCATAAAATCAAAGTGGGCGGAGCCTGGTCGTGTTTATACTCCTTTTGAAGCTCTAAACGTCACGAATACAGAGTTTTATCCCATTTTAAGTTTGCGAGCAATTTTGAAAATGAGCCTGAATGCGCAGTGAAAACTTGAAAATTAGAATTTTTTGAAAAATCGAAAATTTTCCAAAATTTTCAAATCTAGTCTTCTGTAAACTTATTTCAAAGGGCAAAATGAGCTTATTCCAAAAATATGTTTTTTATATGATTTGAGTCAGAACCGACCGAGTTACAAGTGGTAGAAGTTAGAGCATCAGAGAAGCGAGACACTCTGCGTCTCTAACTCCTCAAACTCAAAGTGGGCGGAGCCTAGTCGTGTGGGGGCACATTTTGAAGCTCTCAACGAGACAATTTAAAATGTTTAACTTGTTTTAGGTTTGTAAGCAATTCAAAGTCACTAACCGCCGGCCAACTCCAACGACACTTTCGAATGTAGTCCGCCCAGTTTTCTCTGGCCGCTGGCGTCGCTGTGGACCATTGAAATCCACAAATCAGTGATTGTATCATGTAGAGCATCGCTTGACTATGACTCATAATTGGCTCTCCTTCAGCACTGAACGTTTTCACTGGGACCCCAGTTCGAGCACAATCTTCCATTGATATCATGTGGACCGGGTCGTCGATGAGCTGGAAAATTGAAATATTTTGAAAAAAAAACTTAGGTTCTGAAGTCCTAAAAATCAATTTTCTGATTCAAAAAATAATTCTGAAAAATTCAAAAAAAAATAAATAACAATCAAAAATGTTTTTATTTGGAATTTTTTTTGAATTTTTGGAAAAATCTAAATTCAAAAAAAATTGCTTACCGTAAACTGGCTCTTATCTATATCAAACTTTTCCATGATATCGTATAATTCTGGAAGTGTAATCGTGTGCAATGCTCCCTTGCACAGTTTCAGATCGGTTCGAATTTGGCGTTCTGAAAATAGTTTTTGGAAAATTTCGAATTTCAGTCATTTTTGGACAATTTTAAACCTTCAGAACCTACTTTTAACAATTTCCAACAGTCTTAAGTATTTTTCTGGAAACCCCACCTAACGTTTCTGTTCCTAACCTCGAAAACCCAAAATTTAAGAAGGTGTGAAACTATCAAAACTATCTTCAAAACTAAAAAAGTTAAAGGGAAAATTCTAACTGGAAAATACTTGCCATAAGATTTCACACATTTTTTGTAG